CCCCCTTACTGGCTCCCATCTGCTTCTCTGCAGGCTGTGGACATGCTCAAGGCAGAGCGGATAGGACACGGCTACCACACGGTGGAGGATGAGGCCCTTTACAGCAGGCTGCGAGAGAGGAACATGCACTTTGAGGTGCTGGGAGGACAGAGGTGGAAAGGGGGAGGGCCCAGGGGCGGAGCGCGGCACCTGCGGCAGGTGTGGGCGCCGAGGAAGGCTGGGACTGAAGGCTCATGGGAGTCGGCAGCAGGGAGGCCAGTGTGGCAGTGGCCAGAATAGATGGTTCCAGCTCCAGGGTGTGAGGGGAAGGAGTCCGTGTGGCCTGGGGGTGTCCGTGTCAGCCACACTCCTGCTCTTCCAGGTCTGCCCCTGGTCCAGCTACCTCACAGGCTCCTGGAACCCCGACACGGAGCATGCAGTCGTTCGGTGAGGCTACTCCTCTGGGGCCCATTCAGTCTTGTACCAGGAGAGCCCAGGGAAGAGAAGATGCAGGGACTAGGCACTGGCCATGCTGTGACTCTTGATTCAAAATCCACCAGACTCCTTGGGAAGCAGGCGTTACCATCCTTGTCTTACAAATGAGAACTCCAAAGCTTGGGTGTGCTGTCACTTGACTAAATAGCGCAGCTGGGGCCTGTAGCTCGCTGAGCTGCACCAGAACGTCCTGCTGCCCCAAGAGAAACTTGGACACTCTGAATTCTGCCTCCTAGGGGTCAGGAAGATGAGTCCCTCCTGCTTACACAGCCTGTGCTCCTGGCACCTCTGGGCATTCCCCCCAAGCACCTTCTTGAAGCTTTCCCCTGGAGGGTCTGCCCATCCTACCCTGCAGTCTAACGCAGAGGCCTTGGCCTGTCTTCAGGCTGTTCTGTGACTGAACCCTGGGAGTGGCATCAGGCGTTGGGAGGGCAAAGCTGCCTTTCCCTGACACAGGATGATGGCAAGAACTCGGGGTGGCCATGGCCAGGCCAGCACTGGTCTGTCAGCCAAGCTTATGTGAAGGGAAGGAGCTTGGGCTCCGAAATTGATTACAAGGGGGTCCTGAGATCTGCCTTAGGAAAGGGTAGTGTCCAGGTCCTGTGGCTTGTCTAGGTGAGGTTCTTGGAGGCTCATGGCCATACAGCCTGTGGGCTGGAAAAAATGCAAGAGCTATCTACCCAGACATAGTGGTTGAAGGGAGAAGTGATGGCCTCAGGAGATAGGGAGTAAGAGGGCCTAGGAGAGAACCCAGAAGGAAGTGACATTTATGGGACAGACAGAAGAGACAAGTAGGAGGAAAGTCAAAGTGTGGTGTCTGAGAAATCAACAGAAAGGGCTCCATGAACAGCCAACAGTGTAAAATTCTACACAAGTTGAATGCAGTAAGAGCTGGGAAAGGTCCACTGGATTTAAGAAGACAGTGGGCAGGGACTGTGCCACGTACAGTTTCCATGGTGTCCTTGAAGAGCAGAGCCCAGTGGGATTGATGGCGGTTGGCGTAGTGTGAGGACAACTCCCCCAGACTGTTGGCTGTGAAAGGGACTGGCTAGAGAAGGTGGTAGCTGGAGGAGGGCGTTGCTTGTGTGGCCTCCCCAAGCGACCACTCTACTTGGCCCTCTCTTCTGCCACTGCCTGGCTCTGGCCTGATCAGATGGTTTGAGTCTTGAGTTCCTAATTATGTGGCCTTGGACAAGTCACCTGAGTTCTCTGAATCTGTTTCTTCCTCTGAGGAAATCTTCTGGGTGTGTTTAAGGGTGATGCAAGGCTCAAGGAGGGTACAGAGGTCAGTATGCAGTGACTGTTCACAAAAGAGTAAAGGAAGGCCCTTCTCCCCTTCTCGCCCATATCCAGATTCAAAAACGACCGGGCTAACTACTCGCTAAACACGGATGACCCACTCATTTTCAAGTCTACCATAGACACTGATTACCAGATGACTAAACGGGACATGGGATTTACTGAAGAGGAGTTTAAGAGACTGGTGAGTGCCTGTGGACCCTGTTGGCCTTGACTCTGGGCCCTTGGGAGTGTGTGAGGCCTGCATGGCCTAGAACCTCTGGGGATGAGTGAGTTTACCTCAATAGGCCAACCCAAGCCAGAGCTAGAGTTCAACGCATTCCACAGAGAGACATACTGACCTAGGACCAGGTGTTTCATCCTTTGCTTGCCCTCAGAGAATCTGATAACTATCCACTTTCCCCAAAAATGTGTGGTCAGCTATAAAGTTCTGCACAGACTTTCAGGCTGTTCATAGATCCTAGGCTGAGCCCTTGATTTTTAGGTATTACAATTCCCCAAGCCTGTCTCTGCAGGACTCTCTCTTTGGCCTCCTACATCCTACCCTGCCTCTCAGTTTCTCCAGCACCACTCACATTGCTGTATCACGGAATGCCACTTTGAGAACACAGAACCTCAGTGCTCTGCTCTGGAGGTTGACTGCGGACAAGTCCCTTCCCCTCTGAGCTTAAATAACTGCTCATGTTCAATGAAGAGAGTGGGATGTCACTAGATTGCCAAGGCCTCCCTTCCATCTTCTCTGGTTCCATGTTGTCTGCCACCCTGGCCCTTCCAGAACATTAATGCGGCAAAATCCAGTTTCCTCCCAGAAGATGAGAAGAAGGAGCTACTGGATCTGCTCTATAAAGCCTATGGGATGACACCTTCAGCCTCTGCAGGTTTGTTCCCATCTGAGCTTCTGGGCTGCTGACCTGCCCTGGCTCCAGCTTAGCTTTCTGTGGGACCTCCAGCGAGATGTCCTCCCTCCCTCTCTCGGGTAGCACCAAGGACAGGTGATGACTCCCTAGTTACAGAGCCCTGGCTGGTGGTAGCCTTTCACTCAACTGGCCTATTTTCTGTATAATGCTGTCTTGAGGCTGGTCTTGGGGGAGACTTTCTAAAGGTCTTGGCATCTTGGGGCATCTGCATGGCTTCCCAAAGCCAAGGGCAGAGAGTTGGGCCCAGAGGTCTTAGCTCTGTTCTGCTCCTTCCTGTGTGGCCTTGGCAAGGCATTCCCTTGCTCTAAGTCTCAGTCTCCCCAGGGGCCTCTTAACATTCAGTGATTTTTTTTTTATGCCCTGGGTACTATGAGTTGCCTAATTTTTCTGCTTCTCTGACATGGCCAGCAGGGCAGCAACTGTGAAGACATTGCAGATGCTTCTCCGAGCCCTCACCTTGTGGATGGAGACTTCACAGCCTGGGGGTTGAGCAATACTTACCTTTACTTCTGGGAAGACTATGCTGATTCCATAGTCAGCTCCTGATGCTCTTGAAGCCTGTGTACCATTGCTGTACATACACACCTTGGCATGGTCACCTCTCTTCTGGTTATGGGCCAGGGCAAATCTGAAACCTTCCTCCTCTGGTGATTTATAATGAAAAGCTGGTGCTCAATAAAGTCAATGGCTGGTGTCATGTAGCATGTGATGTGTGGTCTTGGGCACGACAGCTTGGGTGAGGTGAGAGAAGGAGCCTCTGGGACTCACAGACTCAGGCAGTTGCCCAGTGGCAGTGCTCAAGATCCCAGCAGAAGCTGTGAATGGGAAGCCAGAGCTCCCCATGCTGTGGCTGAGGGGGGCCCACAGCCTTCCCTTCCTCCAGAAGAAACCAGGCTTCTCTTGAGGAACTGTCTGTTTACATGACCCCTGAACTCTTAGCCCCTCCTGTTCTAGGTTTTAAGGGGGAGAAAAACCTTCCTTTTGGGGTTCCTGAAGCTGTGGACTGCTGGGGGTAGAAGGATAGAAGATCCCTTGGACACCAGGACAAAGAGCAGGGCTAGAGCCTCTGCAGAGCAGCAGCATCTTCTCAGGTATTTTTTCCTGTGGAAGCCTGGGCAGCAATGGGTCCCAGCTAACTGCAGACTTGGGAAAACAAGGCCCAGGCCCTGCTTTTGCTGTTTAAAGGAGAAATAATAATCTTAACCCAGTCACACAAATCACCAGCATTTATTTCCTGGGTTCCAGGTGTTATTTATCTTGGTACAAAGAAAGGGCAGAGTTGATCAGTAGTTTTGAGCACAAAAATCCCTTCCCTAAAACTGGATCTGTGAAGTTCCATGAGGGAACCTCAGAGCTGCATAGCTGCTCAGAGTTTAGATTAAAATGGCTTAAAAAAAAAAAAGTGAATTGACTGTCAGCTCCTTTCCTCTCTGCTGAAAAAGGTTTAAAATTTTTTAAAAGTTCAAGAGTTTTTTAAAAAAGGGATCAGAAGGTCTTGACCTAAACGGATGGGTTTGGAGAAGAGGGGGCAGAGCTGGGACATGGTCCCTACCCAGGTTGCCCAGGAGAGGAGCCCCTGAGTCCCAGAGCCCAGTGAATAAATAACATCCTGTGGTTATAGTGTCTTAAAAGTGTATCTGGGCATGATGAGGTGGTGGTAGCGTGGAGCCTGTGGGTATGGGCAGAGGGCCTTCCCAGGGTAAGGGCCATGGTGGCCCCTGGGGGTGCCTTTCAGTCTGGCCTCACCTGCCTGGAACAGGGGGCTCAGAGAAGAGGCTGCCAGTGCCAGGGCTCCCTGCCCAGATGTAGACAGCAGGTCTCTCTTCCAGCCTCCTTGGGCAAGGTCAGACTCAAGATGAGGTGGTCCCGTCGCTGCTCTCCGGCTGGTTGCTAGCCGCCTTGTCTGGGGTGCCTGCCTCCACCTGTCCTTCTGGAGAGAAGAGCATGTACACAAACGTGACGCACAGGAGGGGGTCTGGCAGGGCCCAGCTGAACTAACAGTGGATGAGCCCTGGGGTGCAGGATAGGGGCTGGAGGTAGCCAAAGGGAACTTTAACTTGGTCTCTGACATTTCAATGCTTACAAAGAAAATGATGTGGTATTACTAGTGTAATTAAAGTCAATTAAAGGCCAGAATCATGGATGCATGCTAAAAGCAACAGGTGAAGGGCTGTTGAGGGTCAAGACACTTGTGCGGGTTCTCCAGAAGGAGAGGGTAAATGGGAGGTGCTCAGCCAATGGCAGTTCTTAGAAGACAGAAAAGGGCATCTGACTAGGCCAGCTCAGGGGAGTACCACGGCATGGCCTGCATCAGGGTTAGGGGTGGAACCTATGACTGTTTCATGTGCTGTGTCCTCACCAGACCGGCCACACCTTCCTCTGGCCTCTGTCTTTGTATCCTTAGTCTAAGCCTTTCCCATGACCGAGAACCACCACCCTGTACCAAGCACCATGCAATCCACAGAGCAGCCTGGAGGTGTCATTAAGAGCATGATACGGATAAGAAAACCGAGGCTCAGAGAGGTGAACTGATTTGTCTGAGATCAAGTGATGGAGGAAGCCAGTGTCCTTCCAGGAAATTCAATTTCCACCAAGCAGCATTCTCTGGGGTTTATAAAGGCCCATCATCATCGACATTCCCTCGTTTTGCCCTTGCAGCAGTCTTGGGAAGCAGTATTAGTAGTAGAAAGTGGCACAGGCAGAATTTGGACATCAGGCTCCCTGCCAGGCTACCTCCTTCCTATCCTGGGTGGTGCCTGTAGCAAAGGCTTGGTCCCAGAAAGTCCTTTTGGCCCCTCCAGAAGCTGGACAAGCTAGATGGCACAAATTTCCCAGCTTGTGATGCCCTATTTGACCCTGAGCCTCCTACCCTGGCAGCAGAAAGAATCTTGTTAGATTCCCCAGTAATCTCTGCTGTGCCATTTCCTTGCTGTGGGAATTTGGACATTTAATCTCTCTGAGCCTCTGCTTCCTGATCCATAAAGTAAGGATTGGTGACACCTCTGCCTGTT